GTTATTAAACATATTCCTCTGTGTTACCTGTAAACAGTATTAGTTGCAAATGTGGCTTGGCTTAAATATTTGTATAACAGCAGGTACTGAGAACCTAGAACAATATGTTATCTATGTTATGCTATCTGTGATGTAAAACATATTTTTAAGATTCAATAAAGTAGTCAAAGACTAACACCTCTGGGTTTTTTTTTATTTGCTTCCCAATGATGATCCAATCCCCAGTACACCATGTGCTATGATTTCAATTTTATGTTGAGTGCTAACAGTGGTCCTGATATCTATTGAGAGTTACTTTTTATGTATGAGCATTTAAAATGCATTGCCTACCTCCATTTGTGCAAAGATTTATTTCAGTATGTTAAATCTTACCACATAGGTAAATGGCGTATTTAAAGTTGAAATTCTCACTAAACTAATATTGTTGGCCTACAAAAGCCATTACTTACTTGTATCTTGGTGTCCTTGTGTATTTCCTCCAGATCTGTGCAGGAATCTAGCATAAAACATCTCTTGTACTTCAAGTGCAGAGAGTGCACAAGTTTCCTGTAATAAAGACTGGTCAGTGCTGCTCTCTCCATGCATAATGACTGGTTATTATCTGCATTCCCCTCCTGTATTTTTTTTTATACAGTGATGTCAGTCACTCTGTAGAATAATCTTGAAAAAACTTATAGTAGAACAGCAGTAGATGGAGAGGGTAAGGAGAAATCAGGATACCACAAATGCACTAAAAAACCTCCAATAATCTACTGCACAAAATGATCTCCATATTCCCACTGGTTATATTGGCCTATAGAAAATTCCCTTATCCTTGGCTCCTTAGGGACCAAGGTTTAAACGGTATCTTAGTGGCTAAAAAGATTCCTGCATCCAGATTCTCTAGTCACTCACAACCGCTTTTCAAGTAAGAGGCAGCAGAAGGTTCTTCTTTAAGGCCAAAATATCTCTCATCTTTTAATAATCCAAAATCTTGTAGGAACCTCCAAGAAGGGTAGGCTTCAGCACACAACCTCCTTGGGCTAAAGCCCTCAGGGTAAAAAACTCATCACAAAAAATCTGTAGGAAGGAGCTAGGAAACTTTCTGGAAGGGTTGTCTCAGATATTTTCCACCTCCCAACTAGCTATTACCACTAAGACAAGCTCCACAGTGGTTGGTTGGGCTGATAAATATTGATAACTCTAATTGTTAATATTTCTGACACAGATTAATGGAGCATGCTTGAGAGCAGCTGACAGATGCAGGAAACATTCTGATCTTAGATACACTGTAAAGTAAAGGAATACTTAGGCTGACCTAACTGATCCCTAAAAGTAACTCAAATGTATTGAAGACTTTTACTGCATACAGGAAGGTCCCCACAAATGTAAAAATAATCAGCAGTGATCAGCATGCACCATTTGTAAAATGGTCAAAATATTTCATTTTGAGAAGGCTTGTTACTCTTTTACTGAAAAACAATTACACCACATTTTTGTATTTTTATGTGTTTACAGATACTAAAAAACTTTACTTCCTAATTATTCCAGTTACAGAAAGTCCAGAAGAGTGACAGTGACATCCTTGTTTGTTTGATTAATAAGCAAAACAAATTTAGGATAAAAAACAAACTGATGAATTGTGATGGTACCAACCGGTGTTTGGCCTTTAGCACTATCACAGGTCATGTTTCTGCCCTTTCTATCTTTGTTTCAGAGGCTGTTGTCTTCTTATCTTTTTTGAATTGCTCAAAGGATGCTTACATCTATGTTACATTCTATGTATAATGAGAAGTGATATCAAGCCATTTGATAGCAGTCCCTGCCCCTAGGTTCACAGGGGACAGCCCACATGTATGTGCAGTACCTGCATTAGTTAGCATATATAAGAGAGGTGCAGACTCTCAGTATGTTGGCTCTGAGGAAGAGGCTAAGTCCTCGAAACACGTTAGCCAGTTGGAAGTCCAGGGTTCCATTGTTTTGGATTTATATGCTATATGGATTGGACACCATGCTACCTTGGTCTGGCCTGGGGCTGAGGAGGCAAAAAGTCCGCAAACTCAGTGCCCCCTGAGGAGACGCGCTCAGGGGTGTCACTAGTAACACTTGGGTGTGGGACCCCACGGTGTGAAGATGACACATGGCCACTGTTTTTACACTCTTTTTTGCACAGCGCCCTAAGGACCAGGTCTTTTGGCTAAGTCCAGGGCAATTTTTGCTACGGGCCTCAGGGCCTGGTCTGTGCACTATTAGGCACGGTACCACTTTTTTATTTTTATTCTATTTATTTATTTCACTCCCACGTTTTGTCACTTTTTGCTTTCTTATGTGTGTGTTTTTCACGGATGGAGGGTGTGGGTCCTCGGGCCTTACCTGAAGTCTAGGGGGAGGATGTGTGGGCCATACGGTTCCTTCCTCCCCTGATCCCTAGGGGGTTTTCTCTTCGGGAGAACCCCCTTGCCTAGTACTGGATGTCCGGCTTCGGCTGGGCATAAGGAACGGTGGTCCACCAGGCCTTTTGGCCAGGAGGACCAAATGGGAACCTTGTCCCTGTCAGGAGCTTCGTGCCCCGGGGGATCGGGTGAACGGTCCAGCCCTTTCGGGGGTAGGACAAACACACCCCCCTAAGTGCACGTTTTTCGTGTGTGTGTGTTTCTGCACTTGCACTTTTTTTTGCGGACACTTACGGGTTTTTTCGTTACAGTCTCACGTTTGCGGACTTAAAAAAAAAATGGATTGGACACCGTTGTTTATTGTGATGTGCCTTTGTTTTATATGTCCATTGTGAGTATGATACCTACTTTTTATCCTTTTATTCTTTACGATAATGCACTAGGCCGGAGTGCCCTCTTTTTGCTTTCTTTTGTATCCAGTGACTTTGGACAACCCCAGTCCATTGAGGGCAGCAAGGAATACATATTCCAGGATATCTGAACTGTTACCATAGTCTCTGCTGAGTCCATCCCCAGCGCAGGAGTATAGAGTTTGCTGTGTTCTGTGGGATAATATATATGTGTATGTGCTCCAACATTTAAAAACAATATAATACATAAACAAAATATTAGTGATACAAAAATATATACAGTGGGGATCGAAAGTTTGGGTACTCCAGCGAAACATTTGTATTAATGTGCATAAAGAAGCCAAGGAAAGATGGAAAAATCTCCAAAAGGCATCAAATTACAGATTAGACATTCTTATAATATGTCAACAAAAGTTAGATTTTATTTCCATCATTTACACTTTCAAAATAACCGAAAACAAAAAAATGGCATCTGCAAAAGTTTGGGCACCCTGCAGAGTTAATATCTTGTACTGCCCCCTTTGGCAAGTATCACAGCTTGTAAACACTTTTTGTAGCCAGCCAAGAGTCTTTCAATTCTTGTTTGAGGTATCTTTTTGCCCATTCTTCCTTACAAAAGTCTTCCAGTTCTTTGAGATTTCTGGGCTGTCTGTCACGCACTGCTCTTTTAAGGTCTATCCATAGATTTTCAATTATGTTGAGGTCAGGAGATTGTGAAGGCCATGGCAAAACCTTCAGTTTACGCCTCTTGATGTAATCCCCCGTGGATTTCGAGGTGTGTTTAGGATCATTATCCATTTGTAGAAGCCATCCTCTCTTTAACTTCAGCTTTTTCACAGATGGCATCAAGTTACCATCCAAAATTTGCGAGATGTTCCCTGTGCCACTGGCTGCAACACAACCCCAAAGCATGATTGATCCAACCCCATGCTTAACATTTGGACAGAGTTTCTTTTCATTAAATTCTGTGCCCCTTCTTCTCCAAACGTACCTTTGCTCATTCCGGCCAAAAAGTTCAATTTTAACCTCATCGGTCCACAGAAACTTGTTTCCAAAATGCATCAGGCATGTCTATATGTTCATTTGCAAAGTTCAAATGATGATTTTTGTGGTGAGGACGTAGAAGAGGTTTTCTTCTGATGACTCTTCCATGAAGACCATATTTGTACAAGTATCTCTTTATAGTGGAATAGTGTACCACAACTCCAGTGTCTGCCAGATCTTTCTGGAGGGATCGTGCAGTCAAACGTGGGTTTTGAATTGTTTTTCTCACAATCCTGCGAGCTGTTCTGTCTGATATTTTTCTTGGTCTTCCAGATCTTGCTTTAACTTCCACTGTTCCTGATGACTGCCATTTCTTAATTACATTCTGAACAGAGGATATTGACATCTGAAAATGCTTTGCTATCTTCTTATAGCCTTCTCCAGCTTTGTGAGCGTCAACTATTTTCAGTTTCAGTTTTCTAGACAACTGCTTAGAAGAACCCATGGTGCTGATTGTTGGGGCAAGGTCACATGAGTCTGGGCATTTAAAAACTTTTGGGATTGACATCACCTGGTCTTCCCAGACGATGATTGAGAACAATCCATGACACTGGCATGCTATAAATTCTGCAGGGTGCCTAAACTTTTGCAGATGCCATTTTTTTGTTTTCTGTTATTTTGAAAGTGTAAATGATGGAAATAAAATCTAACTTTTGTTGACATATTATAAGAATGTCTAATCTGTAATTTGATGCCTTTTGGAGATTTTTCCATCTTTCCTTGGCTTCTTTATGCACATTAATACAAATTTTTAGCTGGGGTGCCCAAACTTTCGATCCCCACTGTATATGCAACGAATATAATTTTAAAAAAAGTTTTAAATAAACATTCATATAAAATCTAATTACTGGATAGCAACTCTGCTATGCTACACCTCCATAAATTAAGCAAAATCTTTGCTACACCTCAATAAAAAAAACATTTCAAAATAAAAAATGTTAATTAAAATAAAAAAAAAAAAAAATCACTTGCCTCTCTTAATTTTTACTAATGTTTATCAGGAGAAACGCCAATTCCCCACATAAAGATATGAATCTATCATCACTAGAGATGAGCGAATTATTCAAAAATTTGATTCGGCTGATTCGCCGAATTTGCGGAATAAATTCGATTCGATGCAAATTTATTCGCTGCGAATTTAACTTATTAAAAGGGTTTCTAGGCTTCAGAGCCTTTATATTAGTGCAGAACACTGTACCTTTAATTTAAATGCCCTTGGAGTCTGCTGGGGAAGAGAAATAATACTGTCAGTCAGTATGACATGCAGATGAGTGCCGTCGATCTTAGAATCACCGCACACTTCACTCATTTGGGCAGTCACGGGGCCAAAACCAGAGTGTGGAGCCACAGTGTGGCGGTGGAGGCAGCAGCAATGGGAGGCCATACAGCACCCTATGACAAAATGGAACCCACCAGCAGTGTGAGGAGACCTGAAAGTGGCACATGGCAGAGTGTGGCGATGGAGACAGCAGCAATGGGAGGCCGTACAGGGACCCATGAGTACACTCTGGACCTGGCAGCAGCATGAGGAGGCGGTACAGGGGCCCATGACAGATTACGGGCCTGGCAGCAGCATGAGGAGTCGGTACGGGGGCCCATGGCAGATTACGGGCCTGGCAGCAGCAATGGGAGGCCCGTAATCTGCCAGCACCCCTAAGGACAAAATGGAACCCACCAGCAGTGTGAGGAGACCTGAAAGTGGCACATGGCAGAGTGTGGCGATGGAGACAGCAGCAATGGGAGGCCGTACAGGGACCCATGACACACTCTGGACCTGGCAGCAGCATGAGGAGGCGGTACAGGGGCCCATGGCAGAGTGGCGAAGCGTAAGCAGCTTAAATTGAAGGCCATACAGAGGCCTATGTTAAAAAGTCCCCCCAGCAGCAGTGTGGGGAGACCACTTATCAAGAGTCCAATGGCAGAGTGGCGGAGTGGCGGAGCAGAAAGCAGCTTCAATTGAAGGCCATACACAGGCCTAGGTTAAAAAGTCCCCCAGCAGCAGCGTGGGGAGACGACTATCAAGAGTCCAATGGCAGAGTGGCGGAGTGGAAGCAGCTTCAATTGAAGGCCAATAGTGGTTGTGAAGCAGAAAGTCAGTTTATTGTACACAATCGGTCAATTGCAGCTTGCCGTTGGCTGGAAACTGTACGTTTGTGTCACTGGAATGCACTAATCACCCAAAAAATATTTACGCCAGCCGGCGTTGTGTAAATGGATTTAACTCTTTGAACATACAATAGTGGTTGTGAAGCAGAAAGTCAGTTTATTTTGCACAATCGGCAAACTGCAGCGCCAACTGTGCACAACAGCCACCAAAAAAAAAAAGGGTGTATGTCACTTTAAATTTTCGATTCTTTTGATAGCTGTGGCCCTGAGTAACGATTCTGTGTCCCTGAGTAACGATTCTGTGTCCCTGTAACGATTCTGTGGCCCTAAAGTCTCTGTGGCCCTAATGCAGGCCATGAGATGGGTCGAAAAATCGGCCGATTTTTTCGGCCGAAAATAAAATCGGCCGATTTTCGGATCGTTAGTGGGCTATTTGGTCGGCCGTTTTTCGGTATTTTGGCCGTTTTTTTTTCTGTAAAGTTGGGAAAAAAATCAGGCCGATTTTGCCGATCGGTCCGATTTTCGCGGCAATAGTGGGCAAATCGGGACGATTTTTTTGCCGATAAAAAATCTGCGCATGAGCAGTGACCTGCAAGAGGAAGACAAAAAGAAGAAAAAGAAGAAGAGGAAGAGGATGAAGAAGAGGATGAAGAAGAAGAAGAGGAAGAAGAGGATGAAAAAGAAGAGGATGAGGAAGAGGAAGAAGAAGAAGAAGAGGATGAGGATGAAGAAGAAGAAGGGGGAGGATGAGGATGAAGAAGAAGAAGAAGATGAGGATGAGGAAGAAGAAGAAGAAGAAGAAGAAGAGGATGAGGATGAAGAAGAAGAAGAAGAAGAAGAGGATGAGGATGAAGAAGAGGATGAGGATGAAGAAGAAGAAGAGGAGGATGATGGTGAGGAAGAAGAAGAAGAAGAGGATGAGGATGATGAAGAAGAAGAGAAGAAGAAGAGGAGGATGAGGATGAAGAAGAAGAGGATGAGGATGAAGAAGAAGAAGAGGATGAGGATGAAGAAGAAGAGGATGAGGATGATGAAGAAGAAGAAGAAAGAAGAAGAGGATGAGGATGAAGAAGAAGAGGATGAGGATGAAGAAGAAGAAGAAGAAGAAGAAGAAGAGGATGAGGATGAAGAAGAAGAAGAAGAAGAAGAAGAAGAGGATGAGGAAGAAGAAGAAGAAGAAGAAGAAGAGGATGAGGATGAAGAAGAAGAAGAAGAAGAAGAAGAGGATGAGGATGAAGAAGAGGAAGAGGATTGAAGGAGAAGAAGAAGAAGAGGATGAGGATGGGTGAGGATGAGGATGATGATGAAGAAGAAGAAGATGAGGATGAAGAAGAAGAAGAGGAGGATGAGGATGAAAGAAGAAGAAGAAGAAGAGGATGAGGATGATGAAGAAGAGGAATGAGGATGAAGAAGAAGAGGATGAGGATGAAGAAGAAGAAGAGGGAGGAAGAAGAAGAAGAAGAAGAGGATGAGGATGAAGAAGAAGAAGAAGAAGAAGGAGGGGAGGTGGGAAAGAAGAAGAAGAAGAAGAAGAGGGATGAAGAAGAAGAAGAAGAGGATGAGGATGAAGAAGAAGAAGAGGGGGGAAGAAGAGAAGAAGGGGAGAAGAAAGAGGAGGGGATGAGGATGAAGAAGAAGAAGAAGAAGAAGATGAGGATGAAGAAGAAGAAGAAGAGGATGAGGATGAGGATGATGAAGAAGAAGAGGATGGGAAGAAGAAAAGAGGTTGGGGATGAGGGATGGAAGGGAAGAAGAAGGGGATGAGGGGGGGAGGGGTGAGGTGATGAAGAAGAAGAGGATGATGGGAGGGGGAAGAAGAAGAAGAAGAATAAGAAGGGGGTTGGGAGGATGATGAAGGGGGGGGGAGGGGGATGGGATGGGGAAGGGGAGGAGGAGGGGGGGATGGGGAAGAAGGAGGATGGGATGAAGAAAAAGGGATGAGGGGGGGGTGATGAAGGAAGAGGGGAGGGAAGAAGAAGAAGAGGATGAGGATGGAAGAAGAAGGGAAGAAGAAGAAAGAGGGATTGAGACGGAGCTCTCTGCAGGGACACTTTTTGCCGGCTGTAGAAGGGATGAAAATCGGCCGATCGGGGGAAAATTCGATTCGTGCATCCGAAGTTTGCTAATTTTCGGATTCGGCGCGAATCGAATTTTTCCTAATATTCGAAACGAATTCCACTTCGTCATGTTCGATTCGCTCATCTTTAATCATCACCTAACTCCCTTCATATGTATATGAGCAAATCGAAAAAATATATGGATATCCACAGAAGTGAAAACTGCATACTATCACATATACAGTATATTTACTCATTTTAATGCATGTGAGTAAAGCACCATTCAATGTAAATACATCTACATACTGTATGTCATCCGTGGGGGTCTGATGGTACATATATACAGTTTCTCACAGAAGTGAGTACACCCCTCACATTTTGTAAATTTCTTTCATTATATCTTTTCATGTGACAACACTGAAGAAAAGACATGATGCTACAATGTAAAGTAGTGAGTGTACAGCTTGTATAACAGTGTAAATTTGCTGTCCCTTCAAAATAATTCACACAGCCATTAATGTCTAAACTGCTGGCAACAAAAGTGATTACACCCCTAAGTGAATATGTCCAAATTGGGCCCAAAGTGTCAATATTTTGTGTGGCCACCATTATTTTCCAGCACTGCCTTAACCCTTTTGGGCATGGAGTTCACCAGAGCTTCACAGGTTGTCACTGGAGTCCTTTTCCACTGCTCCATGAAGACATCAAAGAGCTGGTGGATGTTAGAGACCTTGCGCTCCTCCACCTTCCATTTGAGGATGCCTCACAGATGCTCAATAGGGTTTAGGACTGGAGACATGCTTGGCCAGTCCTTCACCTTTACCCTCAGCTTCTTTAGCAAGGCAGTGGTCATCTTGGAGGTGTGTTTGGGGTCGTAATCATGTTGGAATATTGCCCTGCGGCCCAGTCTTCGAAGGGAGGGGATCATGCTCTGCTTCAGTATGTCACAGTACATGTTGGCATTCATGGTTCCCTCAATGAACTGTAGCTCACGAGTGCCGGCAGCACTTGTGCAGCCCCAGACCATGACACTCCCACCACCATGTTTGACTGTAGACAATACACATTTGTCTTTGTACTCCTCACCTGGTTGCTGCCACACACGCTTGACACCATCTGAACCAAATAAGTTTATCTTGGTCTCATCAGACCACAGGACATGGTTCCAGTAATCCATGTCCTTACTCTGCTTGTCTTCAGCAAACTGTTTGCAGGCTTTCTTGTGCATCATCTTTAGAAGAGGCATACAGACCAATTTGATGCAGTGTGTGGCGTATGGTCTGAGCACTTACATGCTGACCCCCCCACCCCTTCAACCTCTGCAACAATGCTGGCAGCACTCATATGTCTATTTCCCAAAGACAACCTCTGGATATGAAGCTGAGCATGTGCACTCAACTTCTTTGGTCGACCATGGTGAGGCCTGTTCTGAGTGGAACCTGTCCTATTAAACTGCTGTATGGTCTTGGCCATCATGCTGCAGCTCAGTTTCAGGGTCTTGGCTATCTTATAGCCTATGCCATATTTATGTAGAGCAACAATCCTTTTTTCCAGATCCTCAGAGAGTTCTTTTCCATGAGGTGCCATGTTGAACTTCCAGTGACCAGTATGAGAGAGTGAGAGTGATAACACCAAAGTTAACACCCCTGCTCCACATTTACACCTGAGACCTTGTAACACTAAGGAGTCACATGACACTGGGGAGGGAAAATAGCTAATTGGGCCCAATTTGGACATTTTCACTTAGTGGTGTACTCACTTTTGTTTTGTGGTTTAGACATTAATGGCTGTGTGTTGAGTTATACAAGCTGTATAAAATCCTGTGTGCTAGAGTAATAAAAAAAAAGTATACCAACAATACTATGAACCTTTTAAGGAATGTTGAGGATGTATGTTATATTTTTGTATAATTTCCCATAACTTTGAGATCTTGTGTAGCTGCCTGCTAATCTTACCAGCTATGCCTGTTATGGGCTGGGAAAAGAAATTAAGTGCCACATTCCACAAACACCTTAAAGCTGTTTCTCCCAATCTATAACAGTAGGTAAGCTAAGGTGTTTCTGATGCCACTTTATGTTAGAGCCAAGCAATATTGTAACCTTAAAAAAGGTATTATACATACATTTTTATGATGCCTACATATGGCATCACTGACATTGTCCATAAAAATCGTACTGGTTCATAACACCACACAGCTTAAAGTGGAAGTAAACCCAATTTTGTATCTTTTACCTACAGGTAAGCCTTTAATAAGGCTTACCTGTAGGTACTCTAAATAACTCCTAAATGTGCACCATTTAGGAGATATTTTTCTGCAAAAGCACCGGACTCAATGGACATGGAGTGATGACTTCGCGGCTCAGCCAATCAGATGACCGCAGCCTGGAAGGAGGATCGAGAGAAGATGGAAGCCTCCGGGAGCCATGACAGCACTCCACTGGAGGGCTTTCTTTTCAGGTAAGTCCTTCATACTGTCCTAGTATGCGATGCATACTAGCACATTAGCTCTAGACTTGCAGGGAAAAGATTTTTTTGATTTTTTTTTGCGGTATAATACTGCTTTAAAGGCACCTGCCAACCATGTAATTAAAAGGACTGGTATTTTCCAACTGTCACATAAAAAGAGGCCCCTTTGAAACACTGCTTTAAAAAAAAAAATTCTAAAAGTAAATTTTCACCAGGCTAGTGCACAAATCCCAAATGCCCTTTGTTTGACAATACTCTGCCTATCAGCTTTGAAAATGAGCAAAATTGATTTTCCCTTCTAACATCTATACTAACCATTCTATAGAAGACAGCTGCATATACTTACCTATTTTCAGGCTGCTCCAGTCCAGTCATGTGATCTAGCCCAGCTCTGGCTACAGGGGACAATGGTTTGAATGGCTGAGCAGTGACATCACCCATTGGTTCACTATTTACTATGGGCTATCCATTGTCGGCACTCTTTCCTCTCCCCTGAAGCCTCTGCTAGCTGACAGAGAGGAGCCAATCATTTGACAGGACAGGAGCAGCAAGAAAATAGGTACGTATATGAATTTTTCTTCTACAGGGTAGTTAGTATAGGTGTTTGAAGTGGAGTGGGAGAAGTTTTAAGATTCGTCAGTGATATTGCACAATGCCACTTAATTTTGTTATGTATTGTTCCTATATGGCAAGTATATGTAAAATTTCTAACTAAAGATGGCTCTAAAAACAGTAGAGAATGTCCAATACTTTCCAAGTATGTTACTGCCTAAATGGTGTTATTTTGTGTGCTGGAGTTCATGCTACAAATACTTTTTTGCTGATGCTAGATATGTGCTCATCTCTCTGTCTCTGTTTTATCTTCCTATCATCATGCTGATTGTTAGCAGGTGAACTGATTGGCTTCTTGTGCTACTAATTTTTCTTGCACTCCAGCTCTGCTATTCTGCAAGAGTTTGATGGCAGATCAAATTCAAATACTTACGCTGCCTGCATCTTAAAGTGCATTTGATTATGTATTAGTGATTATAGAGCTACAATAATTCTTCTTTTATATCTGTATTTAAGAGCATAAATACCATTTAAAACAATACACAAATACCATTTAGGGCAATAAATATCATTATACTGAATGTGAACCTACAATAGCATAAACACATACACATACTTACACATACCACTTAAACTGGAATTACAGCCAAAGCTTTCTTGGCTGTACTTCTCCTGTGGATCACAGGAGTGCACAATGAACATTTTCAGTTGACAGCAGGCTGAAGCTTTCTGTCAGTTGACGTCACTCAGCCGGTCCAGGCTGGGGAAAAATTCAGACTTTAAAGTCATGATCCACCCCAGAGTCTGCAGTGGCACTTGGCTCAGTCTCTCAGCAAGCTGCTGACAGCCTGAGCCAGCCATTCCCTCTCCCTCCACAGCCCAATGCTCTGGTGAGTGTGGGGGGAAGCTGAGTAGACAGTGGTGACTGACAGTCACCACTTCTGCTCAAGGCAGCTGTGAGAACTCAGCAATCAACAGTCATATGATCGCTGAATTCTCACACTTAGAGCTGGCAGGAGACCGATGCTTCATTCACCTAGATAAGTATGATTTAGGTAAAAAACTATTCCCATACTCCAGCTAAAAATAACCAGATAAACACAATCAGCCCATTAACATGTATATTAACAATATAAGTTCTGGGGCAAATGTGTGAAGGCTGAAGATGGCGGTCGCACATGAATTTTGCTCCGCTTCATCGCTCTCTCTTCCAGCTCCTCTGGAGCCAACATCAGCTACTTAAAGGAGAGAACAGGTACTGGACTTAGCACCATTTGCTGATCCCCATGGGCAAAATCGGGCATCAGAAGTACTCTTCATCACCCTCCAAACACTTGCGGCCTACACATATGGATAGATATGTGTCACAAGCCGCATCCCCGGCCTCGCGTGATCACACAATCCCAGCAGCAGAACCAGAGGATCAGACAGGTAGCAAAGTGGAGGTAACTCATCATGCTGCCCTATCTCTCCTTTCTCCTATCCTCCCTATCTCACAGCAGACATTCTGGATGATAAGTTACATGATCTTCTGCAGAGTTTATCCCATACTATCTTTGCAGCAGTGGGGAAAATAGCTCAGGAACTCAGAGGGCAGATAGCATTAATGGAAGAACATACAGATCACCTAGAAACCAGATTTGATGATCTGGTGCAGTAAGTACATGTACTGGAGGAAGACAATCATGCTTTGAAGCAGCTGATGTCCCAGGCATTCCTGAATCAATAGGAGACGTGGATCTGCAAGATTATCTGCGGAGTCTGTTCACCGCATTGGCCCCGGCAGTTCTAGACATAGATTGGTGAATGGATAGAGCCCACCCCTCTCTTGATCCGAAACCTCCATTAGGCACAAGACCAAGAGACATCATTGTTCGGTATCACTACTATGATGGTAAATCTCTGCTAAATTCTATGCACAACACTGCCTTGATTGATTTTAGAGGGGAAAAAATTCAAATCTATAGTGATTTGTCCCCTATAACACTGTTTAAGAGATGTACACTTCGCCCGCTTACTCTCCACCTTCAGAAGCATTGTATTGTATACATATGGGACTTCCCATTCAGGTTAACTGTAACCAAAGATGGCACTTAACACACAATCAGAGATCTTCAAGAAGGAGTGGTGTTTCTGCGTAACTTGGGACTACCCCCTCTCAGAGGCGTAGCTAGGGTATTTTGCGCCCGGGGACAAACTAAAAAATTGGCTCTTCAGCCCCCCTCTCCGTTTAATCACATCAGTGACATCAATGATGGGGCTCTATTTCTCCCACTGACACCAATGACACTTACCTTGCTGACCCCTGCTCCAGCCTAGGCTCCTTCCCTCTCCCATCCACAGCCAGCATACCTGGTTGCAGCAGCACCATCTGCACAGCACACTTACTGGTCAGCTGTCTTCTTCACTTGCTCCGGCAGCTCCCTCACTCGATCTTCGCGCTGCCGTTCGGCTCCTCCTCTCCAAGCTCTGCCTCCTCGCAGGTGATTGGCCGCCTGTGTGCCTTTCCTGAGCTACAGTTCTTGTGCCCAGTCACCGGTGATGAGGCGGAGCTTGCAGAGGGAGGTACAAGCTGCAATAGGCTGTCCAGTGATCCCGAGGGTGTGGCCAGATGACAGGGGCGGCATGTCATCCCGCCCACACATCGCGTCCACGGAAAAGAAGACACCGGACCTGCGGACCTCTCTACCCCTCCTCTAGCAGCGCCTCCTGGACTGGATCGTCGTGGGACTGGGACACGGAGCCAGGTAAGACACAGCAGCCCGCTGCCCGCCCCTGTACTAAGTGTCCCTTGCGTTGGAAGGGGAGGCGGCGGCACCGCACCCCCCCCTAAAAAGTGCCGCCCTAGGCAAACGTCTTGTTTGCCTCGCAGAAAATACGCCCCTGGTTGTAGGCCTCATTTTGGCACCCCTTTACCTTGCGCTCGGGTACATATGTACCCCCCTGCCCCCCCTAGCTACACCTCTGCCCCCTCTCCCGTATGATGCCTTAGCACTACCCCAACCCAAACCAAGAGCAGTCAACACTCCTAACAAAATGTGGACCCCGGCAAGATCTAGAAACAAGACATGCTCCCGATTCCTCAACAGTCTCCTGCCTCTCAGTTTTCTTCACCTGATGACATCACACTAAGTACAGCTGTTGCCCCTTAAGACTTAATGTCTATAGATATACTTTGCCCGTCAATTTTGAAATCTTCTTGAGGATGCCTCCGACACCCTATCGGGATCTTCTCAGATGATATCCTGTTATTTGCTGTTTAATTTGGAAGAGAGTAGTAAAATTACCGCCTGGTTTTCACCCTCCCTATGTTGTCCCTAAACATCTACAGCTATTGCTGTAGTTGCCTGGGTGGCCTTGGCTGCTCAGGCCTTCTCCATATTTTGGTATTTTACTGTCTGCAATTTCATTCCTTTTTGGGATTTGTTTACTCTGTGTCTGCTAGTAATTTTGCGATGCACTGGTAGCGTCTTCCTTAGTCAATGTTTGTTTTTTGTGTTACTCTTTGTTAGAACAGCATGGTTAATTTGTCATACTGCCCTGCATACAACTGCCTCATATTCAAAATA